TGAGGAACTTTTAAATGTTAAGGAGGAAACAGAGGCAGTAATTTCATGCACTGGTCAGGGAGGTATACCATCTTTTAGGAGTGAAGAAGAGCAGAATGTAAGTGTGGGGGAGGTACGTGAGGCATTACGTAAAATGAAAGGGGGTAAAGCAGCTGGAACTGATGGGATCATGACAGAAATGTTAAAAGCAGGGGAGGGGACATAGTGTTGGAGTGGTTGGTACTTTTGTTTAATAAATGTATGAAAGAGGGGAAGGTACCTAGGGATTGGTGGAGAGCATGTATAGTCCCTTTATATAAAGGGAAAGGGGACAAAAGAGACTAAAAATTATAGAGGAATATGTTTACTGAGTATACCAGGAAAAGTGTACAGTAGGGTTATAATTGAAAGAATTAGAGGTAAGACAGAATGTAGGATTGTGGATGAGCAAGGAGGTTTCAGAGTGGGTAGGGGATGTGTAGATCAAGTGTTTACATTGAAGCATATATGTCAATAGTATTTAGATAAAGGTAGGGAAGTTTTTATTGCATATGGATTTAGAAAAGGCATATGATAGAGTGGATAGAGGAGCAATGTGGCAGATGTTGCAAGTATATAGAATAGGTGGTAAGTTATTAAATGATGTAAAGAGTTTTTATGAGGATAGTGAGGCTCAGGTTAGGGTGTGTAGAAGAGAGGGAGACTACTTTCCGGTAAAAGTAGGTCTTAGACAGGGATGCGTAATGCCACCATGGTTGTTTAATATATTTATAGATGGGGTTGTAAAGGAAGTAAATGCTAGGGTGTTCAGGAGAGGGGTGGGATTAAATTTTGGGGAATCAAATTCAAATGGGAATTGACACAGTTTACTTTTTGCTGATGATACTGTGCTTATGGGAGATTCTAAAGAAAAATTGCAAAGGTTAGTGGATGAGTTTGGGAATGTGTGTAAAGGTAGAAAGTTGAAAGTGAGCATAGAAAAGAGTAAGGTGATGAGGGTGTCAAATGATTTAGATAAAGAAAAATTTGATATCAAATTGGGGAGGAGGAGTATGGAAGTGAATGTTTTCAGATACTTGGGAGTTGACGTGTCGGCGGATGGATTTATGAAGGATGAGGTTAATCAGAGAATTGATGAGGGAAAAAAGGTGAATGGTGCGTTGAGGTATATGTGGAGTCAAAAAACGTTATCTATGGAGGCAAAGAAGGGAATGTATGAAAGTATAGTAGTACCAACACTCTTATATGGGTGTGAAGCTTGGGTGGTAAATGCAGCAGCGAGGAGATGGTTGGAGGCAGTGGAGATGTCCTGTTTAAGGGCAATGTGTGGTGTAAATATTATGCAGAAAATTCGGAGTGTGGAAATTAGGAAAAGGTGTGGAGTTAATAAAAGTATTAGTCAGAGGGCAGAAGAGGGTTGTTGAGGTGGTTTGGTCATTTAGAGAGAATGGATCAAAGTAGAATGACATGGAAAGCATATAAATCTATAGGGGAAGGAAGGCGGGGTAGGGGTCGTCCTCGAAAGGGTTGGAGAGAGGGGGTAAAGGAGGTTTTGTGGGCAAGGGGCTTGGACTTCCAGCAAGCGTGCGTGAGCGTGTTAGATAGGAGTGAATGGAGACGAATGGTACTTGGGACCTGACGATCTGTTGGAGTGTGAGCAGGGTAATATTTAGTGAAGGGATTCAGGGAAACCGGTTATTTTCATATAGTCGGACTTGAGTCCTGGAAATGGGAAGTACAATGCCTGCACTTTAAAGGAGGGGTTTGGGATATTGGCAGTTTGGAGGGATATGTTGTGTATCTTTATATGTGTATGCTTCTAAACTGTTGTATTCTGAGCACCTCTGCAAAAACAGTGATAATGTGCGAGTGTGGTGAAAGTGTTAAATGATGATGAAAGTATTTTCTTTTTGGGGATTTTCTTTTTTTTTTTTTTTTTTGGGTCACCCTGCCTCGGTGGGAGACGGCCGACTTGTTGAAAAAAAAAAAAATGTATGTAAAAATAGCAAAACATTAATTCTTTTTATTATTTTATATACAGAAATGACTAAACATCCAACTTTGGGAAGGTATCTAATTATTCTGTGAATTTGGATTTTTTGTAAATGTTAAGTCAGACCAGAGAAAATTACCAAGATTATATAAAAAACTCTGCAATCATTAACATTCAATTATAGTAAATATTATAACCAATACTCACCAAAATCATGCTGTGCTCCTTTCTTATAGCACCTGACTTCTGTTAACTGATGTGCTGAATGCTACTGAGTGATGAAGTAGAACAGGTGCTGCCGATACATATTGCTTGTGTACTTTTGAGTGGCTGGAGTGATGCGTCTTCTATGTCAAGGTCAACACAGCTAGAAATGGGGGTTAGAACTTGGGGAGCAGCCACTGCTCGACTTCAGGCACTGTCTGAAGGCTTTATGAACCATACCCGGAGTGATGGCCTGTCTGGGTAGCTGTGGTATATTGTCAATATATACATCTGGTGGTTGAGGCATACCATCAAATACTGTATACTATATGTCGGGTGGCTGGGCTGTACTGTCAAATGTGTACATTGTCTAGTGGTCAGAATGTACATCCAAAGCTAAGCATAAGGCTAAGGCGAGGAGAAGTACCACCCATGGCATCATTAAAGGTTTCAATTTCCACTCCACAAAAAGACTGATTATACATTTAGGGAATGGCTAATAAAACTCGTGCTAAAAAAGATGAACATAGAAAAGATAGCAATGAAAGACTGCACGAGTGAGACAGTTAAGCAAGCTACACTTGCCACAATCCACTAAAATCAAATTATCCATTATTTCCCCTCAGACTGCTTTCCTAAACCTAATATATCTTCCCTTCTCAAAAAGATTTGTCTTAAGGCAGTAGTTTCTAGAATACTGACCCCAACACGTTCTCCCTCAATCCAACTAATTTTTAGGAGCCTCCATATCATTTCTGTCATATTGTGGATACCTGTGTTGTACTAATTGCAGGAAAAGTAAAGTTTTTTATATATTTTTATACCAAAACCTTTATATATTTACAATAACATTATAATTATTGCACGTGGGTATGATCCAATAATAAAAAAGGAGGAAGGGGAAGGATAGGGCACTTTGGTCCATAATGTGTACATACATTCAATATTTATACAATTGTATACAAGCAGTGAAGCTGGTAGACACTTCAAATATACTACCGTAGTATTTCCCAGCATATAAGGTGCACAAGCGTTACGATTATTACAACTTTATCACTACAACGAACTGCATGTCCTTTTATAAAATACCATTTGCCAGTAACCCAAAGTCTACCCTTAACCCTGACCTTGAGCATATAAGGTGCAGGGTGAATTTCCAAAACTTTCATTGGGGGGGGAGGCATGCCTTATATGCCAGAAAATATGTTAATTCTTTTGGCAGTTCTATGTCAAAAAAAAAAAAAAAAATTAATATTATAATACTTTCAAAAAAACGTAGAGTTGTTTGTAATACAAAAGTGATCACAAAACTCTCAAAAAAATGAATGCATAAACAAAAAATTAGGCTTTATTAAATACAAGAAAAATGGACAATAACAAAAGTACTATCTCATGCATTCACTTTAGGAGGAATGTCAAGAAAGCGTAATGTATGGTACTACAAAATATTGAAACCATTTTCACAATCATAAGATACATAACAAAAATATTTTAATACTGTACAACCATACTCTGTAAATTCTGAAAGTCTTCTTAACTCAAATTATTTAAAATATCAATCTAAAAATTGTAATAAAATTAAGGTTAAAAATTTCCAAAAATGTTGTGGACTTCATTTACAAGATACCCTGTACATATCAGATACATTTATTTGAAAAGCTTACAACATTTATACACACATGTTTAAAGTGACTTCCTTAACACTCAATTTATTATAATGTATCAAATCTATAAAATTGTATAAAAATTTCGAAGAGATTAACAATTTCCCAAAAAAGTATTGTAAGCTCATTTACAAGATCCTTACATAATAGATACATTTTATGTTGAAAAAGTTAAAACTAAGGTTTATACACACAATGTATAATGTTAAATCTATACATATATTGTAGCAACACGCTCCTTTATGCATATAAATACAGTGGAACCTCAGCTTTCGTGATTAATTCATTCAAAAAAGTCTGACGAAAACGAATTGTACGAAAACTGAAGCAATATTTCCCACAAGAAATAATGTAAATCCAATTAATGTGCTCTAGACACCTAAAAATATCAACAAAAAATACATTTTATAGAGAATAACTATAATTTTACATACAGAAAACAATGAGAAATATAAATGACTAATGAAATGGATAAATGAACATTTAACATCACCCCTGTTACACAAAAAATCTGTCCAGAGGTCTGTTTCTGGTGTTTCTTTAGATTTACCTAAAATGGGAGAAGGCATTGTCATTGAACATTGAAATGACCTGCTGGTCCATGGGCTGGATGAGAGGAGTGGTATTAGGGGGCAAGAACTTCACTGTGATAAAACTAAACTCCTCCAGCAACTGGTCTTCCAAGCCTAGAGGATGAGCAGGAACACTGTCCAGTACCAGGAAGCACTTGAGTGGCAATTGATTTTCCAGGAGGTATTTCTTCACACTCGGGCCAAACACTTCATTGACCCACTCAATGAAAATTTGTCTTGTGACCCATGCCTTATTGTTAGCCTTCCACATCACACACAATTTACTCTTGATGACACTTTTTCTTGAACACTCGGAGATTTTCAGAGTGATACACCAATAAAGGCTTCACTTTGATATCTCCACTAGTGTTACCACAGAACAAAAGTTAGCTTATCCTTCATAGGTTCCTGGCAGTGCTTTTTCTTCCTGATTGATGCAAGTCAAAAAGAGGCCTGTTTTGTCACAATTGAAGACTTGTTGGGGAGAAATTTGGTACAGACCATTTTTGAGTTTGGTACGGAACATTTTCAACTGTACAAAAACCGAGCGGATGTGCAAAAACTGGGACAAGATTTTGACGAAAAAAGTCGTCAAAAACTGAATCGTACGAAAACTAGGCCATATGAAAACAGGTTTGACTGTACCTAGAACATTATGGTGCTAGTCCTACATTGGTTAAACTAGTGACCATTCCTCTATAGCAGGGTTTTCAATACACTGTACTGTACTTGTATTTAGAAATTTCCCTATTTGGTGATAGTTATAAGCAAGTTCAGCATATTTTACCCCTTGCAAATGCTTCTTGTGTTAAGCACCTGACAAGCCAACAGCTTGCTGGAAAAGTACTAGCTTGGCTAACAACAACATTGGTGTTTGCCTAGCCAGAATTATATCTTCATTGTTTGTTACTGATAACTAGCAATGCGAAAGAGTAAAAACTGGTACAAAGTAGAAAAGAGGACTTATAGCACTATAATACTGTACACTAAATATGTGAGCAGGAGATAGTGTATTCTCAATGGTCATCAGATCTCACTGCGGCACAAAACCTTTTTCCTTCAGTAAAGGAATTATTGCGAAGTTTGTTTCTGATAGGTTACACAAAGTACTGTAACGTTTAAGATTATTTCACCATAATATTGACCTTTAACAGGTTAACAAGAACAAGGGCATCATAATTAAAGATGTATACATCACTCATGTCAACCACGAAACATTCATAGCCGGTTAATATATTTGTGTGAATATCTGGATGAAATGCCATATAGTTAACAAATATGAAGACAAAGACAAGTTGCAGAACAAACATTTATTGGGACAACTCTGATAAAGCTCCACACAGTGAAACAAAGTTCCAATAAAAGCTTGCAACTTGTATTTGTCTTCATGAATAAAAGTCCTTCAAATTAAAATAAACTCCCCACAGACACCCACACCTCTACACATGGAGCTGTGAATCAACCCCTGTAACCACATATAGGCGAGTACAACAACACATACACACACAAATACACACGTACATTCTTTCTTCTTCTTTCAACAAACCAGCCATATCCCACCAAAGCAGAGCAGACAAAAAAAAAAAAAGTTTCTCTTTTTAACTATTAATGTATACGGAGAAAGGGTTACTAGCCCCTTGCTCCCGGCACTTTAGTCGCCTCTTACGACACACATGGCTTACAGAGGAAGAATTCTGTTCCACTTCCCCATGAAGATATATGTGTGTGCCTGTGTGCAATCACAGTCAACAGGTGATTTCAGAATATGCAAAACAACCACTGTGAAAAAATAGTGAAATTCCAAGCACTTTCGTGACTTCTCACATTATCAAAGAACTATAAAAACAATACATCAAAGGAAGGCATATAAAGGTCGACACCACATCTTGCCATCACATCCCACAACAAAGCAAACACCTGACGCGTGATGACATCCGACTCATAAGAAAGGAACACTGCAGCCGGCCTGTTGACCCCAACTAGGCAGGTCCTCACGACAACCCACTAACAAAGCACTCAACCCAAGAAATAAGATTTACTATTTGTCCAATGCATAATTCTTTTTTTTTTTGGGGGGGGGGTGTCAAATGAAACATGTCTTTGGTGTATACAGTACATGATATGCTCATATTTTTTTGGGCAAGAGTCAAGAGAAGCGATTTGCTTTTCAAGTCTGGTTAGCGTGTGTGCAAACAGCATAGGATTTAAGATTGAATTGAATTTTACCTCTATTTGGACTAAATGCATTTGTTTGTATGACAGTTTTGTATGTGTGGTACACTGGCACTGTTTGGCTAAAAGTTTTTTTTTTTTAACACATTGCATGTCAAGGAATGAGGATTCTTTCAACTGTACGAACTTCATAATAAAGATTCATTTATGTTATAAACTTTTCCTCTTTGTTATTTGTATTCGAGTTTTGTTCATCAGTCAAGGAATGTAAAAATTTTGTTTTAATTTTTACAAGTTGGCAACAAAGTCTACTAAAAAGGTTGGTAAGCAGAATACAGGTGACTGATAAGCAAACTTGCTTCCCTATTGTAATAATGTTAGTAGAATTACCGACAACACTTTAGGCAAAAGGACACATGTGCATTAGTCACACATGTGACTTTTACCTAACATTGTTTCCTTATATATCCTTAGTGACTAAACAAAATCAAGGTAAGTGAGGCCTCCAAGCAGAAGACAGAATTCATAATTCCAGAAGAATGAGAAACTAGCCTAGGAATTTACAATGGTTCAGATTCCAAGAGATATACACTGTGTACTAGTAAGCTTTAAAAATAACTTGTACTACAATATATTTAAACTTAAAAGCCTTAACTCAACTTGGGCTTTGGGGGCTTCAGAAACCCTATTTTTCGTAGATGCCTAACAATAAAAGGAGTAGCAGTCAGCGTAATGGCTATCCGTGCTGGAGCAAATACTTTATGAACAGCATATGCAACCACAAAAGTGGCAGCACCTGCAACTCTATCATTTACACTTACTGGATTTGTATCTACATCAATACCACTAGCTACATCTTCTGCAACAACTTCTGCCACACTGTCCTTCTGAAGGCTTTCCAAAGTCACAGCTTCTGGTACACTGGCCACAGTAGTTGAAGTTTCAGTGACTCCAGTAACTGCTACCTCAGTCAACTTCCCTATGTTGATTCCCAGACTCTCAATCACCCCAGTCATATCTACTCCACTGTAAAGAAGAACAACAGTCATTAGTGAAAAACATGTTACTATGTAAAAACAAATAAAATAAACAATAAGACAATGTCAACTTTCAAATGTAAATACCCTGAAAAGCTGACCCCACACGTAACACATTCACGTAGCACATTTTCAATACAACATTAATGAAATTTTGTTTAACAATCCCACATTACATTGGATAAAACCAGTACAGCACACCACAGCATTCAAGAATTTCCCTGCCCAAGTGGGAGGAAATTATTTCTAAGGATGGCTACAAGCCTGAGCAGGTATTAATGATGATGAAACAAGTATATTTTGAAAAAAGATGTAGTTTAAAACTTGCATCAGAAAGCAAAGAAAAATGAATGCACCTGGACTCAAGAGACTGAAGAATTGTTTGAGGATACTTCAGTATGCTAAAGCATCAGGTGGTTTCTGGTGTAAGCCTAATGTATTATCCAGAATACCTGTGCTTTAGAAGAATAGAACAAAATCACTTTGCTGGTTATTTGGTCTAAAATAATTTTGCATTCAAGGTTCTTATCATTCTTAACAATTCTTATAGCCACCCATCAACTCTTGCAGTCTATCCAACCCAATGTGGAGGTTGTGTTTTCACCACCAAATACATCAACTTTGATACAACCATTGGATCAAGGAGTGATTAAGACATTTAACCCTTTCAGGGTTTCGGCCATACTAGTACGGCTTAGGCCCCAGGGTTTATGACGTACTAGTACGCAACCACCCAGGGAAGTACTACCGTCCTGCCAGATGACTGTGAAACAAAAACCTGTAACTGTTTTGCATGATGGTAGGATTGCTGGTTTCTTTTTCTGTCTCATAAACACGCTAAGATAACAGGGATATCTTGCTACTCCTACTTACACTTTGGTCACACTTCACAGACACGCACATGCATATATATATATACATACATCTAGGTTTTTCTCCTTTTTCTAAATAGCTCTTGTTCTTTTTTATTTCTTCTATTGTCCATGGGGAAGTGGAAAAGAATCTTTCCTCCGTAAGCCATGCGTGTCGTATGAGGCGACTAAAATGCCGGGAGCAATGGGCTAGAAACCCCCTTCTCCTGTATACAATTACTAAAAAAGAGAAGAAGAAAAAACTTTATAAAACTGGGTTGCTTAAATGTGCGTGGATGTAGTGCGGATGACAAGAAACAGATGATTGCTGATGTTATGAATGAAAAGAAGTTGGATGTCCTGGCCCTAAGCGAAACAAAGCTGAAGGGGGTAGGAGAAGTTTCAGTGGGGGGAAATAAATGGGATTAAATCTGGAGTATCTGAGAGAGTTAGAGCAAGAAGGTAGGGGAGCAGTAATGTTAAATGATCAGTTATGGAAGGAGGAAAAGAGAATATGAATGTGTAAATTCAAGAATTATGTGGATTAAAGTAAAGGTTGGATGCGAGAAGTGGGTCATAATAAGCGTGTATGCACCTGGAGAAGAGAGGAATGCAGAGGAGAGAGAGAGATTTTGGGAGATGTTAAGTGAATGTATAGGAGCCTTTGAACCAAGTGAGAGAGTAATTGTGGTAGGGGACTTGAATGCTAAAGTAGGAGAAACTTTTAGAGAGGGTGTGGTAGGTAAGTTTGGGGTGCCAGGTGTAAATGATAATGGGAGCCCTTTGATTGAACTTTGTATAGAAAGGGGTTTAGTTATAAGGTAATACATATTTTAAGAAAAAGAGGATAAATAAGTATACACGATATGATTTTAGGGCGAAATGACAGTAGTTTGTTGGATTATGTATTGGTAGATAAAAGACTGTTGAGTAGACTTCAGGATGTACATGTTTATAGAGGGGCCACAGATATATCAGATCACTTTCTAGTTGTAGCTACACTGAGAGTAAAAGGTAGATGGGATACAAGGAGAATAGAAGCATCAGGGAAGAGAGGGGGTGAAGGTTTATAAACTAAAAGAGGAGGCAGTTAGGGTAAGATATAAACAGCTATGGAGGATAGATGGGCTAATGAGAGCATAGGCAATGGGGTCGAAGAGGTATGGGGTAGGTTTAAAAATGTAGTGTTAGAGTGTTCAGCAGAAGTTTGTGGTTACAGGAAAGTGGGTGCAGGAGGGAAGAGGAGCGATTGGTGGAATGATGATGTAAAGAGAGTAGTAAGGGAGAAAAAGTTAGCATATGAGAAGTTTTTACAAAGTAGAAGTGATGCAAGGAGGGAAGAGTATATGGAGAAAAAGAGAGAGGTTAAGAGAGTGGTGAAGCAATGTAAAAAGAGAGCAAATGAGAGAGTGGGTGAGTGTTATCAACAAATTTTGTTGAAAATAAGAAAAAGTTTTGGGAGTGAGATTAACAAGTTAAGAAAGCCTAGAGAACAAATGGATTTGTCAGTTAAAAATAGGAGAGGAGAGTTATTAAATGGAGAGTTAGAGGTATTGGGAAGATGGAAGGAATATTTTGAGGAATTGTTAAATGTTGATGAAGATAGGGAAGCTGTGATTTCGTGTATAGGGCAAGGAGGAATAACATCTTGTAGGAGTGAGGAAGAGCCAGTTGTGAGTGTGGGGGAAGTTCGTGAGGCAGTAGGTAAAATGAAAGGGGGTAAGGCAGCCGGGATTGATGGGATAAAGATAGAAATGTTAAAAGCAGGTGGGGATATAGTTTTGGATGTGGTTGGTGCAATTATGTAATAAATGTATGGAAGAGGGTAAGGTACCTAGGGATTGGCAGAGAGCATGCATAGTTCCTTTGTATAAAGGCAAAGGGATAAAAGAGAGTGCAAAAATTATAGGGGGATAAGTCTGTTGAGTGTACCCGGTAAAGTGTATGGTAGAGTTATAATTGAAAGAATTAAGAGTAAGACGGAGAATAGGATAGCAGAATGAACAAGGAGGCTTTAGGAAAGGTAGGGGGTGTGTGGACCAGGTGTTTACAGTGAAACATATAAGTGAACAGTATTTAGATAAGGCTAAAGAGGTCTTTGTGGCATTTATGGATTGTGGAAAAGGCGTATGACAGGGTGGATAGGGGGCAATGTGGCAGATGTTGCAAGTGTATGGTGTAGGAGGTAGGTTACTGAAAGCAGTGAAGAGTTTTTTACGAGGATAGTGAGGCTCAAGTTAGAGTATGTAGGAAAGAGGGAAATTTTTTCCCAGTAAAAGTAGGCCTTAGACAAGGATGTGTGATGTCACCGTGGTTGTTTAATATATTTATAGATGGGGTTGTAAGAGAAGTAAATGCGAGGGTCTTGGCAAGAGGCGTGGAGTTAAAAGATAAAGAATCACACACAAAGTGGGAGTTGTCACAGCTGCTCTTTGCTGATGACACTGTGCTCTTGGGAGATTCTGAAGAGAAGTTGCAGAGATTGGTGGATGAATTTGGTAGGGTGTGCAAAAGAAGAAAATTAAAGGTGAATACAGGAAAGAGTAAGGTTATGAGGATAACAAAAAGATTAGTGATGAAAGATTGAATATCAGATTGGAGGGAGAGAGTATGGAGGAGGTGAACGTATTCAGATATTTGGGAGTGGACGTGTCAGCGGATGGGTCTATGAAAAGATGAGGTGAATCATAGAATTGATGAGGGAAAAAAGAGGTGAGTGGTGCACTTAGGAGTCTGTGGAGACAAAGAACTTTGTCCTTGGAGGCAAAGAGGGGAATGTATGAGAGTATAGTTTTACCAACGCTCTTATATGGGTGTGAAGCGTGGGTGATGAATGTTGCACGAGGAGAAGGCTGGAGGCAGTGGAGATGTCATGTCTGAGGGCAATGTGTGGTGTGAATATATAATGCAGAGAATTCGTAGTTTGGAAGTTAGAGAGGAGGTGCGGGATTACCAAAACTGTTGCCAGAGGGCTGAGGAAGGGTTGTTGAGGTGGTTCGGACATGTAGAGAGATGGAGCGAAACAGAATAACTTCAAGAGTGTATCGTCTGTAGTGGAAGGAAGGCGGGGTAGGGGTCGGCCTAGGAAGGGTTGGAGGGAGGGGGTAAAGGAGGTTTTGTGTGCGAGGGCTTGGACTTCCAGCAGGCATGCGTGAGCGTGTTTGATAGGAGTGAATGGAGACAAATGGTTTTTAATACTTGACGTGCTGTTGGAGTGTGAGCAAAGTAACATTTATGAAGGGATTCAGGGAAACCGGCAGGCCAGACTTGAGTCCTGGAGATGGGAAGTACAGTGCCTGCACTCTGAAGGAGGGGTGTTAATGTTGCAGTTTAAAAACTGTAGTGTAAAGCACCCTTCTGGCAAGACAGTGATGGAGTGAATGATGGTGAAAGTTTTTCTTTTTCGGGCCACCCTGCCTTGGTGGGAATCGGCCGGTGTGATAATAAAAAATAAAAAATAAAAAATAGTACGCCTAAATTCTAGCGCCCTCAAATCTAGTGAGAGAAAGCTGGTGAGCCTACATATGAAAGAATGGGTGTATGTGGTCAGTGTGCGCAGTATAAAACAAATCCTGCAGCACACAGTGCGTAATGAGAAAAAAAAAAAATTTGACCGTGTTTTTGGATTAAAACAGCGACTTTACACTGTATTTTCGTATGGTATTTATTGTTGTATTCTAGTTTTCCTGGTCTCATTTTATAGAATGGAAGACATATTACAGAAATTGAGATGATTTTGACTGGTTTTACAATGAAAAGTACCTTGAAATTGAGCTCAAAGTAGCAGAAATGTTCAATTTTTACCAAAGTTCAAAAGTAAACAAATCATGCCAAGCATCCAAAACACGTCAAATGGCAAGTCTAATATTCTTTCACAAGTGCACTGATATTATTTATACCATTTCTACACTAATGCGGTAGTCTGCATAACAGTAAATCTTCTATTTTTTCCAAGAATAAAAATTCAAAGTGGAAAGCCAAAGAAATATAAGAGGGGCCTGGGGATGTGACTAACAAACAGAGAACTTGTTATTTTAGTGCCAGGAATGTCTTTCTTGTTTATTCTGGACCCTATTTGGAAATTGGCATCTTCTGAAATTTGTGTGAAATTGGCAAAATTGCTAAATTCTGACCACTGTATTGGATAGTTGAAATTGGTAAATGGGTGGTTTCTTGTACTCATTCGATAGAAAAAATGGAGTTCTAGCGAAATAGTTACGATTTTTGTCGACTAGTACACTAGAATTGGCCGAAAATAGGGTTCAAAGTGAGCAAAATCACCGATGCGTAAACATCGTCGAGACCGCTAACTTCACGAGAGCATAATTCCGCAAGTTTTCCATCAAATTTCATAGTTTTGGTGTCATTATGATCGGGAAAAGATTCTCTATCTTCTCATAAGAAAATATAATTTTTTTTTTTTTAAATTTGGGGGACCCTGAGAACAAGTCTCTGAGAGGGCCTGTGGACCCTGAAAGGGTTAAGTGTCACTATACATGCTGGGTACAAAAATTTATTGCAGCCATTGACAGTAGTGTGCCAGAGATCTAGCATAAATTTAACATTGCAGTTGCAATAACTTGTGTAAAAAGTGCATGAGATGAAACTCCCAATCAACAGTAAATGCAAACTGAGGAAAAAAATTATGGCCTAGTGTGGTGCATAATTTTGCAGGTTGTCCCTTAATAAATAGTCAGGTCCAGGTAATTGTGAATCTGGAAAAGAGAAGGCTTGAAGATATGCATAAAGACAAATTAACTGTTTCAAGATGTTCGCAAAGAAAAAACTGCAAAGAAATATTGAAGTTCATTTCTGAGACACAGGAGAGGCAGAACCAGGAAGACTAAGCCTGCACAGATGACATTTCCACAAATGTTCATCAGAAGTGTGAAAATTTTTGAAAAATTCTGAATCCATTTCAGGTGTTGATTTTTTAGATTTATCTGAAGAGGAGAATCTTGTGCAATTTCCATAAACTTTTAGTTTTTGTAAATTTGGGATTCAATTATTTGGATTCAGATATATGAAGTCCTATATTACATTCCAGATTGTAGTAACATCTATACAATTAGTCCTAGACATTATATACAATAATATTTTTGCAAGGCACAGTAAATCAAAAGTACATGAAATATGTCACATTCACACAGACCCTGCCTGGAGGTGCACTACCAGTGAGCATTATGTATTTTTGGGGGGCAATATTACAGATATCAGTTACAATATCACTGGTGTTTAGTGTACATATATTGTTTTTGTAAAGAAACAAAATTTTAATGAACAGAAGATGGATGAAATAGTGTTGAGCGAAAAAATTAAAAAGGGTGAGAGTTTTGAATAGGAAAGAATGAATGGGAGTTATTCCAAAGCATCTGAAAGAACAAGTACTAAAGGGGTAGTGTTAATGTTAAATCAACAGTTATATTAAGAAAATTATTATAATTAAAATAAAGTGCTAAACCTACTATGGATACAGAAAGAAAAGAATTCAGAATAATGCAGTTTAGAAAAATATGAAATTTATTTCCTAAATCTCAAAAATAAAGATTTGATCAGTGTGGTTTGATACTGCACTGTTAATGCACTGTGAGAAAAAATCAAGATCTATCCATTTCACCCACTGAAGTGAATAAGTAGCCACTTATCTTAAACACACTTTTAAAGGTGGTTGAAGCCATATACATAATACATATATAAAAACAAGCTTTGCATCAAAAGGCTCTTTAAATACCTATATTAATTCTATAATACAGATAGGCCATCACTAATCTGGCAATCAGTAATCTGGTTCCATCAGTAATCCAGCACTAATTTCAGCTAGCATAACTTCAAATCTCCGGGGTTGCTGCACCAACCTGCTGCTACCGTTTGGTGCCGCTACTTGCTGCATAAGTCATTCCAATTTCTTTTTCTCCATTTGTTATAACCTGCTCACTTTTAGCCCAAGCCATGGTTCCAATGAATGAAAGAAATGCTTCGCACTGTGTAAAGCACATACACCGTACATTGTCCATAAAAGATAAGGCGGCTCTGAACCTACTGTCAGTTGCCATAAGCTCAGTTCACTCAGATAAGCTGTGACCAGTAAATTTGGGCTTACATGTGAGAATAGGTCTGTGTGGTAAGTGTGTACTACATAAAAAAATCCTGCAGCACACAGAACATGAGGAAAAAAAACTGTGACTGTTCTCTTGGTGTAAAACAGTGACCGAGGTGTACAGTGCAACCTCAGCTTACAAATTTAATTTGTTCCATGACCTTGTTCGTATCCTGATTTCTCTGTATGCTGAGTTAATTGTCCTCATTTAAATTAACTGAAATGGCATTAATCCATTCCAGCAGAATTCCTGCTCTCAGGTAGCATGACAAAATACATGTACTTCAGTATGACGCTAATATCAACTCTATGGCTTATTTATCTATCACAATTCATCTAATTTCACCGTCAGTCACGGAATTCACAATATGTGCATCATTGTCAATGTTCAGGATTTCTTCAATGTCAGCTTCCTGTAATTCCATTAGCACACAGTCAAGATGAGTAAATAGAATTATCAAAGCTTACTGCTTGGGTAGCATTGAAACTTGAGTTGGGCAAATATTCTGCTAGTGGGATGGATTGTGAAGGACGTGCCTAGTATGGGCCAACAGGCCTGCTGCAGTGTATTATTATTAGTACGTACGTATTATTATAACAATAATATTATTATTATTAATTTAGGGAACTGGAGCACAGATCCAATTCCCTGGATCAAGAGCCCCTCACCAAGGAATCTCCCTTGAGGGGAAATTCGCATCCTGAAATTTTGTTCGTATCCAGAAGCAAAAAAATCGACCGAGCGACTGTTCATATCCTGAAAAATTTGCATGGTGGGGCATTCGTAAGCTGAGGTTCCACTGTATTTTTGCATGGTTTTTATGATTGTATTCTCTTTTTTTCTTTTTTTTTTGTCTCATTTGATAGAATGGGAGATATATTACAGAAACATATGACTGATTGGTTTCACAACAGAAAGTACCTTGAAACTGAGCTCAAAGTAGCGGAAATGTTTGAATTTTGCCAATTTTAAAAAGTAAACAAATGACACCGTCCAATGTGTTTCCAACTTGCCGGTCTAATACACAGTCATGAATGGGTTAACATTATTTATACATTATTACAATAATGAAATAGTCTGCAAAACAGTAAATCTTCTATTTTTTGTATGAATAAAAATTCACAATGGAAAGTAAGCATAATATAAGAGGGTACTGGAGATGGGATTAATGAACGAAGAAAATAATATTTTAATGCCAGGAATGTCTGCATTGTTTATTCTGGACTATTTTGAAATTGGCATCTCTTGAAATTTGTGTGAAATTGGCCAAATTATCAATTTCTGACCACTTTACTGGGTAGTTGAAATAGGTAAATAGGTGGTTTCTTGTACTCAATCAACATTATAGAAGGAATACATACTAACAAAATAGATACGAGCCAGGTAGATTGGAACAATGGATGGGCCAAAAATAGGGCATAAATTGGGTGAAATCGCTAATGTGTAAATATCGCCGTTGAGTAAAGTGTATTCTAACCTAACCACTCTGTAATCTGACAAAATCACTAATCTGGCATCCTATAGGTCCTGATGATGTTGGATTAATGATGGTCAACCTGTACTCGATTAATGTTTAACAAAAATTATCAAAAGTGCTTTCAGACATGAGAACCAATAAAATTATATATCTCACCTAGATACCAGTAAGTAGCAGATTCCCAGAGAGGCTAGTGAAATTGTGACATGAAACACAATGACTGTCGCTCCATATTCTTTTACAGCTCGCTGTAATTTCTGCTTCGATGTCAGCTGACCCTTAGGATTCCCACTGCTTTTTGTCTCAACAGACTGACTGTCTTGGTTGTTGCACACTGCACATGTGTTAAAATATCTGCTACACCTCTGTGAACCTCTACCATACACAATTCTGTGACATGCTGAAGAATTGTTAGAAATGAGGCACACACTGTTAACATGGGAGGAAATCCATGGAAAGTTTAAACTGTCTATTCTATTGCTCCCACAGGCTGTCATCAGTCCTCTAGGACAAAGTCCATTTTGTCTTGACAAATTAACACACTTCATGGGGGATCCAAGTACCAAACTGCCAAGAGTTAGGAGGGTAGTACCTGAATTTTTCTTAGAGACGATGATGGAGTGGTGGCAGTCCTGGAGGTCACCAGAGACATACTTGTCATCCTGAGCCCACTGGCCACCTGGCATGTTCAGATGCACTGGGGCCTTCCCAGAGATTTCAAAAGGCTTGGGCACATTTGTCTGCATCACCTGGAAGGATAAATAAAAGGAATTAAAGTACAGCAGAATACTGTAACTACTTTTAATTCACTATCATTCACTGAATTGTTATCTTCACAAAGTGAACAGACATTACAATTCAAATGACCCCTGGAACTGTAATACAGCCTCTCCTCACTTAACGACAGAGTTCCGTTCCTAAGACTAAGTTGGTAAACAAATTCGTTGCTAAGTGAGAAACATACTGTAATGGTAGTGGGTTTGTGTCAACCATGTTTGATGCACCATTTATAACATTTCTGGTATATTTTTAAATGTTTATACAGTAGTGTACTGTATATTGTAATAAACAGAATAGAGGAAATCAGCTCTAATATACATCAGGTATGCATACTGGTCAGAGAGGCCATTGTAAGTCTGAGTCGTTGGTAAATGAGTACAGCAGATCCTCCATATTCGCGAGGGTTAGGGAATCAAGAACCTCACGAATCTTGAAAATTCGCGAATGTTTGGTGCGCAAGTATGATGTAGGGAAATATAATAACAGCATTTACTTACCCTATCAGTACTGCTTCCTTAACCTACTGAATCCCGAACAATCTCAAAACGCATGAAAACATCAGTGGGCAGCGTTTTCCTGATCTTTTTTCCCGCATTTGTTTGGTGGCTGGGTATTCACGAATATTCAAAGCTCGCGAAAGTGGAACTCCCAAAAGTGGAGGGCTAGCTGTACATTGCTATGTGAGGAGAGGCTGTATCCTCATCCCTCCAGAGTGCAAACACTAATTCCCACCACCTTTGTTTGGTGGCTGGGTATTCACGAATATTCAAAGCTCGCGAAAGTGGAACTCGCAAAAGTGGAGGGCTAGCTGTACGCTGCTATGCGAGGCGAGGCTGTATCCTCATCCCTCCAGAGTGCAAACATTGTAATTCCCACCTCCAAGGATAAGTCTCCCATCATCTGCTCATAAGTTCTGTACATTCAATATACTATGGTTCAAGCCATACTGTACTGTGACTTGGTTAATAATATCAAGTTTTATTTTCAATGAATCAGCTGTATCCCACCGAGGCAGGGCGACAAAAAAGAAAAACAAAAGTTTTCTATTAATATAATAATAAAAACAAATCTTCCTTTGTAAGCCATGCGTGTCGTAAGATGCGACTAAAATGCCAGAAGAGGCTAGTAACCCCTTCTGTATAACTACTAAATTTAAAAAGAAAAACTTTAGTTTTTCTTCGTAAGTCACTCTGCCTCAATGGGATATGGAAGTTTGTTGAAAAAAAAAAAAAAATCCAAAATGGTAAATGAGATACAATTTTTTGTAGTGCACAGCACAATGCTTCACCTTTAAGCACTAAATAATAAAAATTAATCCAATTTAACAAAACTGACAAAATACCTGACTAAGGGGAATGTTAGTGCAATACAGCAATTACTAAATAAATACTGACAAGGCACTTGCATAAGAATAAACCTGAGAATCAAAAATTTAATCACTTCCACACACAGCTGCTTACACATTTTATAACATAAGAAAATTTAAGTCTTTTCTGTAAGAATGGATGGTACTGCTAGAGAACATGGTTCATAATACCAAGGAACTTTTGTGCTGAACTCAAAACTGAAAGGTGGCCAGAATATTTATTGTTGTTGCTTCTGATAATTCTCGGTTGGGAACAAGGAAGAAGGCCTGTACACAACCCCTTCCAAGAGGGTTAGCCCTCTCTGGAGAAGTCATTACTCCCCCTTCAAGAAGGGTAATATTGCCCCCCTTCTAACTGGAGGTCTTTCTCCACATAGGCATTTAAAAACAAAAGTAAAATACACATACAGTACACTGGTTGGAGAGCTGGTCCTCCTAAGTTCGAGCGGTCATTAAACAGGTAGGTTGTTAAGTGAGAAGTATCTGTACTTGATAATGACAATAAACAACTATGTTACTGGTTTATGTATTTACTATACTGTACTTTTTATCATTATTCTAGAGTGTACATTTTTCTACTTAAAAAAAAGTTTACCATAAAAGTGTTAAACCAGCAGCAGCCTATGTCTGTATGATGTTCGCATAATGACCAAATTGCCTTACGATGCATTTTTCAGAATGTATCCCTGTCATTAAGTGATGCATGACTGTATATACATATGTAGTAAACTAAAAAAAAACAGTAACTCACAGAAGACAGAGAAACTGTGATGCGTGAATCATAAACATCAACATGAGAGTCAACAGGGAGTGTTCCAGTGTTAAAGGCACCTCGTGACCCTTGATCACCCATGAATCCTGAGCCAAACAAGCTGCCCATCTGATTCAATTTGGAAGAAATATCTCTGGTGCGACGGCGAGAAAAACGAGCCTGTAGGAAAGAAAATTTTTTTTTTTTTTTTTTTTTTTTTACAAAACTTTATATGTACTGTATCTAGCACAATAGAGAAGTACCATATATAATTTTTGGATTTCCCAAAACTGAAATAGCTTAAATTTTAAAAACTGGAAACAATCACCTTAAATAGAAATGTCGAAGAACACTACTTGAATACAGTGGACCCCCGCATAACGATGGCATCGCATAGCGATTTTTCCGCATAACGATTACTTTTATCGCAAAATTTTTGCCCCGCATACCGATTAAAAACCCGCATACCGATTTTCGTCCGAGACGCGTCCAATGTGCCCTCACATGTGCCGGCCGTCCCATTGTTTACCAGCCAGCCTCCGCGGTAACATCCAAGCATACACTCGGAATATTTCGTATTATTACAGTGTTTTCGGTGGTGTTTCTGGAAAATAAGTGACCATGGGCCCCAAGAAAGCTTCTAGTGCCAACCCTGTGGTAAAAAGGGTGAGAATTAGTATGGAAATTAAGAAAGATTTTGAAGGGTTTGGGGCTAACCCTGAGAAGCCTATGCCAGTTGTGGAATCCATTGTGCCTACTTCAAAGATTAAGGAAATGTGTGCAGAGTGGTTTGAACTGCAAACCTTTATAGATTGAAAATCACCCTGACACAGCTGTTGCTAAGCCGTGCTTGTGACAATAGTTCAATGACAAAGTTACTGGCCCATTTTTATAGGAAAGTTCTTGAAGAAACGCAGTAGGTACAGAGCTCTAAGGACAGATTTGTTGTGCGACAAGAGTCAGTGACTTTGAAGATGGTCCTAGTGCATTAAAGAAGAGGAAGTAAACCAGAAAAGGAAACTACCACAAAGTCATAATGAAGGTGGATCCCCTTCTAAACAGTAAAAGATAATGCTCTCCTCACCCATCCATCAATCATCACCAGATCTTCTACAAAAGTAAGTGTCATTAATTGTGCAGCCATTTTTCAGTTTGTGTGTATTAAAATTAACATTTCATGGGTAAAAAAAATTTTTTTCATCTTTTGCGTCTTCAACTGATTAATTTTATTCCAATTAATTTCATGGAAAATTTAATTCGCATAACGATTATTCGCATAAACGAGAGCCCTCCTCAAGGATTAAAATGTTAAACACGGGTCACTGTATACTGTAAATTCAGCAATATGAAGTCACTTATTACTTTATTCTAAATAATGAGACCTAACCATTATGCATGCCTTACATGAGGTTTTTATAGTCAGGTCTTATATTGAGGTCTTAAATTATGTTACACACAGCAATATCTTATATTAGTCTTCTTAAAACCCCAATTTACTTTTGTGTTATGCCATGCCACGTTCTTTCTTTTTTAAATCAATTGTAAACTTAGTTATAGTTCCTTAAACTAAAGACTGTTTTGAATTTTTAATGTTAGACCAGAAAGATTCACCAGGAAGTCATTCCTGGTGCAGGTCTTCTCCAGGGAGAAACCCATCAAATTTATAATACATTACCAACACTGTCACACATGTGACTGATTTAATAGTCAAGTGAATCCTAATACTGGCCTTTTAGACTAGTATATTCTATATTATTACATTCATTGAGAGGGGGACGCTAACTCTGTAGGGATCATGCAGCACCTGGTGGAAACGGGAGGCAATCAGGTTCAATCCAAGGAAGGGGAGGCCAGTCCAATTCCTTGGTTCAAGAGATCTCACCATAATCAAGTTACTTACCATGCGAGGATTACTAAATTCTATAAACACACCACATCTTAAGCCCAGCATATTACATTTATATTCAATATTTTTAGGCACTCCTTATGTACTGATATCCATTTCCTAAATATTACAACTTTAGACCTGCCCTACCTTTTAAACTAGTATAGTCATAGTTTAAATTATGTACAAATTACTATGCATAATTATAATTTTTTTGGTTTTGCTACCTAACCAAATTTAACCTAATACTATTTCAAAACATGTGCATCTTCTAATAATAATTATTTTTTAAGCCTAATGAAGATAAAAACTGATATGAAGAAAAGCTAATTTTTTTATAGCAATGCCTTTTGCCTGTGAAGCTGGACTAACTACTCTAACTCTTACAGCAATGCCTTAAGAACAGCTGCAACATTTATATATACCAGTTTAACTTACAACACTTAAATTTCCTATACATCATTTTCAGTAAACAATCAAATGACAATCATCAGAAACTCTCCTCCTGCTATTTTAACTTAGGCATACCTTCTCTGATGCCTGAATCTCCTCTACATTTGGTGGCATGGGTATGCATGATGGTCGTGCAATGGTCATTCCACTAACTGCCTGGTGCATCTTCTGCTTTTGCTGCTGTGGTTGCTGCTGACCCTGCTGGGACTGTTCTGGTAAAAGAATGCTTCATTCTCATACCCATCATATACTTTTCCTAATTCTGAAGACTTACACATGTAGGCAGTCATTCTTTACACATTTATATCTACCACAACTTTTATATTTACTGCAATATTCAACTTACGTACTATACGTTATTAAAAACAGTAAATATTTTTACGAAGTACTATAATATCTCTCCTTAATCTTTCTCAGTAATAAAATGTACAGCATAGCTCCGTGTCTTCCTTTGCGGATGACACCCGGATTACCACAGCAGTGACCTCCATCGAAGACACCACTAGACTCCAAGCGGACATCAACCAAATCTTTGAATGGGCCACTCAAAACAATACGAAGTTCAACAAGGAGAAATTTCAACTACTCAGATATGAGGAAACTTGAGGAAATTAAAAATATATCAGGGTATACGACAAATTCTAATCATACAATAGAGCAGAAAAGTAATGTGAAGGTCCTGGGAGCAATAGTCAGAGGACCTCACCTTCAAAGACCACAACAATGTATCTACCTCATCTGCTAGGAAAATGATAGGATGGATAATGCAAACCTTCAAAACTAGGGATGCCAAGCCCATGATGATTCTCTTCAAATCTCTTGTGCTCTCTAGGCTGGAATACTGCTGTACACTAACCATTCCCTTCAAGGCTGGCGACATTGCAGACCTGGAGAGTGTAAAAAGAACCTTCACGGCACACATAAGTACCATAAGGCACCTAAATTACTGGGAATGGTTGAAGGTCCTTGATCTGTATTCCCTGGAATGCAGGCAAGAGAGATACATGATAATATACACTTGAAAAATCCTAGAGGGATTAGTACCAAACCTACACACGAAAATCTCTCCTATGAAAGCCCGAAATGCCTAGCCATGCTAGGTATTCTAGTGGCACCCTCTGTAATTAGTATTTTACTATATGTAAACCACACAATAACCAAATTCTGTAAACTCAGCATTGTAATCCTTATAGAGAATAAACTTTGAATTGAACTGAATTGAAAAGACTCGGCATGAAATGCAACATTCCTCCAATGAAAAGCAGGGGTGACACGAGTACACAGAGACAACACAATAAGTCTCAGGGGCCCAAGTTTGTTCAACTGCCTCCCAGCATACATAAGGGGGATTACCAATAGACCCCTGGCTGTCTTCAAGACAGTACTGGACAGGCACCTAAAGTCAGTACCTGACCTGCCGGGCTGTGGTTCATACATCAGTTTGCGTGTGGCCAGCAGTAACAGCCTGGTTGATCAGACCCTGATCCACCATAAGGCCTGGTCTTATAACGGGCCGCGGGGACAATGACCCCGAAACCCTCTCCAGGTATAAACTAGCTTATCAAAACCCACCAACCTAAAATATCCTAAGGTAACTTAGCCTTACTCCGTCAGTGGTAGATATGGAACTGGTGTACTTTTTAACACTAAATTAGTCTTTGTTTAGGTTGTGATTGCCCAGGAGCATCAATACTAACTGATGATGGCCTTAATATCCTGAAAGTCCCAAAATAAATATAACTTTTGCTAATATCTCGCAAATAACAATTTGTCACTGACTTTTTTTTAGGTTATCTTAGGTAATTTACAGTGTATGATAATTGTATTTATGTATACTTACTGACGTGCTTATATTTAAAAAAAAAATGATTTTTCAAAAGAACCTGATCTCCATAGTAGCCCTCTTAAGTCTATGTATATACAAGTTCTCTCAATGTCAGAAAGGTTATAGGATATGCAGAAAAAAAGGTAAAATATTTAAAATCAGAGCATGTAATTCTTGAAGACTGACCTGGAGCCAGAGTGTGTTTGTGTTGAGCAGCCCAGACACCAACACCCCATCCTCTCACACTCCTCATCATCACTATAGACATGTTGAACCACTGCCACTATAACACACTAGAGATACACTGCAAGTCTGAGAGTTGCACAGTGCAGATAACTAGGTTGGCACTACACTCACAGTAAAACTACTACTGGGTTGAAGATAATGTCAGCTGGGGTAGTCAAGTGGTGTTACCTGGCTCCTCCCCCATCATACTGCCAATACTCTCCTTGGAGATTATCATTTCCTTGCTTTATTCTTTTTTCTCGGGCCAGAAACTCATTCCAACTTGAATGTTTGTAATGATAATGATTGTCAGTAATAATGTAAAATGTTTACTTGTGTTATTTCAGGTTAATAACGTGTTATTTCTTACAAAGAGATAGGTAGCATCCTGCAATACCTTCACAGTACTATTATTTCCCTTGTTACTATGCTATTTTCTCAAGACACTATTAAGGCATATCTATTTCGTTCTATAAGCCATGGTGCTACCCACAGGACTTTTTTTTCAATATTGCAGCCCGCCATTGCACTGTACATAAATATGTAATTTCCAACTAAGTGAAAAGGACCCCAGTGAAAATAAGTCACTGACTTTTTGGGTTATCCCAGGTTCTCTACACATATGCTGCCGTATATGGTAATCTATGTAACTGTATTTGTGTATACCTGAATAAACGTACTAAGTGGTTGGTGTCTCCCCCGCCACCAAATGGATATTAACAGCCACTTAATAACCTTTCACAACGTCTTGTCTATCTTCAATATTCATTTACAATCTTCATTATAAACTGGAGAGAGACAGACAGACACTCAATTTATATCTCCAGTTTTGTAGTCCATTATATAAAAAAGCTATAAATAATTTAATCACATATGAACAGTCTCAAAACTTCAAGTTAACTTGGCACCAGCCTAGACGCCTGCTCGTCCGTTCTGGCACCACACTGGTAGCTTGGCTGGCACTGCCCTGGGACATGATGTGAACACGTGGGGAATCACCTGCCCATCAACCTCCCACTTGGAATATAAGAACAATAAATATAATTTAGGGTTATCTTTAAAAACCTCGGTCTCTTAACTTTCCTCGAGTTATTGCTAGAGTTGGCCTGTACATTGCAGAGTCACTTGTTTGCACAGAACTGCTAAATGCCTCAAATGATGTAGTGGAAGTTTTAGCAGTAAAGATCGAGAACCAAAACCTAGTCATTGTGGTAGTCTACAAGCCTCCGGATGCAACATCCCAGCAATTTCAGGAACAGCTGTTAAAAATTGACCACTGTCTGGAAAATCTTCCAGCTCCTGCACCCAACATCTTGCTCCTGGGGGATTTCAACTTAAGGCACCTAAAATGGAGGAATATAGCAAATAATATTGCTGCAGTAATAACACCAGGAGGCAGCTCCGATGAAAACTCACACTCACACGAGCTTTTAAATCTGCACAAAATTCAATTTAAACCAGCAAATAATAGAGCCTACTAAACTGGAGAATACACTAGACCTCATCTTCACTAACAATAATGATCTGATAAGAAATGTCACCATATCAAAAACAATATACTACTCAGATCACAACATATTTGAGGTTCAGACATGTATGCGCGGAGCCCCAGACCGACATAATGAGATTAGTCACGAGGGAGCATTCACCAAATTCAACTTCAATAACAAAATCATAAAGTGGGACCAAGTAAACCAAGTCCTAACCGATATAAGTTGGGAAGATATACTAAGCAACACAGACCCCAATTTATGCCTAGAACAGATTAACTTGGTGGCACTCGATGTATGCACAAGACTTATTCCTCTAAGAAAAAGGAGGAGTAGATGTAAAATAAAGAGAGACAGGCGCTCCCTTTACAGGCGACGGAAAAGAATAACATAGCGGCTAAAAGAGGTCAATATATCTGAAATGCATAGGGAGACACTGGTCAGAGAAATAGCAAGCATCGAACTTAAGCTAAAGGAATCTTATAGGAGTCAGGAATCGCGGGAAGAACTAAAAGCCATAAATGAAATCGAAAGAAACCCAAAGTATTTCTTCTCCTATGCCAAATCAAAGTCGAGAACAACGTCCAGTATTGGGCCCCTACTTAAACAAGATGGGTCCTACACAGATGACAGCAAGGAAATGAGTGAGCTACTCAAGTCCCAGTATGACTCAGTTTTTAGCAAGCCACTAACCAGTCTGAGAGTCGAAGATCAAAATGAATTTTTTATGAGAGAGCCGCAGAATTTGGTTAACACAAGCCTATCTGATGTTATCCTGACACCAAATGACTTCGAACAGGCGATAAAATGACATTGCCCATGCCACTCTGCCCCAGGGCCAGACTCATGGAACTCCGTGTTCATCAAGAACTGCAAGAAGCCCCTATCACGAGCTTTTACCATCCTATGGAGAGGGAGCATGACACGGGGTCGTCCACAGTTACTAAAAACAACAGACATGCCCCACTCCACAAAGGGGGCAGTAAAGCAACAGCAAAGAACTACAGACCGATAGCACTAACATCCCATATCATAAAAATCTTTGAAAGGTCCTAAGAAGCAAGATCACCACCCATCTAGAAACCCATCAATTACACAACCAGGGCAACATGGGTTTAAAACAGGTCGCTCCTGTCTGTCTCAACTATGGATCACTACGACAAGGTCCTAGATGCACTAGAAGACAAAAAAAATGCAGTTGTAATATATACAGACTTTGCAAAAGCCTTCGACAAGTGTGACCATGGCGTAATAGCGCACAAAATGCGTGCTAAAGGAATAACAGAAAAGTCGGTCGATGGATCTATAATTTCCTCACTAACAGAACACAGAGAGTAGTAGTCAACAGAGTAAAGTCCGAGGCAGCTACGGTGAAAAGCTCTGTTCCACAAGGCACAGTACTCGCTCCCAATCTTGTTCCTCATCCTCATATCTGCCCATAGACAAGGATGTCAGCCACAGCACCCGTGTCTCCTTTGCAGATGACACCCGAATCTGCATGACAGTGTCTTTCCATTGCAGACACTGCAAGGCTCCGCGGACATCAACCAAATTTTTCAGTGGGCTGCAGAAAACAATATGAAGTTCAACGATGAGAAATTTCAATTACTCAGATAGGTAAACACGAGGAAATTAAATCTTCACAGAGTACAAAACAAATTCTGGCCACAAAATAGACCCGAAACACCAACGTCAAAGACCTGGGAGTGATCATGTCGGAGAAGCTCACCTTCAAGGCCCATAACATTGTATCAATCGCATCGCTAAAAAATGACAGGATGGATAAGGGAGAACCTTCAAAACTAGGGATGCCAACCCATGATGACACTCTTCAGGTCACTTGTTCTATCTAGGCTGGAATATTTGCTGCACACTAACATCACCTTTCAAGGCAGGTGAAATTGCTGACCTAGAAAATGTACAGAGAACCTTCACGGCGCGCATAAGGGAGATAAAACACCTCAATTACTGGGAGCGCTTGAGGTTCCTGAACCTGTATTCCCTGGAACGCAGGCAGGAGAGATACATGATTATATACACCTGGAAAATCCTAGAGGGACTAGTACCGAACTTGCACACGAAAATCACTCACTACGAAAGCAAAAGACTTGGCAGACGATGCAACAATCCCCCCAATGAAAAGCAGGGTGTCACTAGCACGTTAAGAGACCATACAATAAGTGTCAGGGGCCCGAGACTGTTCAACTGCCTCCCAGCATACATAAGGGGGATTACCAACAGACCCCTGGCAGTCTTCAAGCTGGCACTGGACAAGCACCTAAAGTCGGTTCCTGACCAGCCGGGCTATGGCTCGTACGTTGGTTTGCGTGCAGCCAGCAGTAACAGCCTGGTTGATCAGGCTCTGATCCACCAGGAGGCCTGGTCACAGACCGGGCCGCGGGGGCGTTGCCCCTAGGAACTCTCTCCAGGTAAACTCCAGGTCCAGATTGCTGTTATAACTTTTAAAGTTTAAGTAATAAGATATTACAAGGTCCCCAGTGGAAGTAAGTCACTTTGTCTGACCTTTTTTGGTTATCCTAGGTAATTTACACTATGCATGATAATTGTATTTACGTGTATCTGTGCCTAAATAAACTTACTAAGAGGCACGCGAGTTGTACCTCAACTCGCAACATTCTATTAATACTTTGCTCTAGGAAGATATGGAATTAGGGGGGATATGACTGAAGTATACTAATGGAAAACAGGAATAAATAAAGGGGATATAATTAACTTACTGACCAAGACCGGACTCGTAGCAATAGATTCATGTCAGATAAATTTAGACTTAGGAAGGATATAGGGAAATACTGACAGGTGAGCAGGACAAACTCCCAGGTTGCATCATTGAGGCTAGAACCTAGATTATTATTATTATTATAATCAGAAAGAAACGCTAAACCACAAGGGTTATACAGGCTAGAACCTAGAGAAGCTTTAAATATAGGGTGGACGGGTACATAAATGAATGTGGGTGGGTGTGAGTTAAACCTATCTGGCATGGGCCAATAAACCGATTTCAATGTTCCTTCACTGTTATGTTCATGTGTTTTACTTCTACCGGTGACCAATTTCAAGATATGAATTAGTTGAAGCAGTGGGTGGTTCCCATTAGTGAAAGTAGGTCATATCCATAAGATAATAATAATAATAATAATAATAGTAGGTTGGTAGACAGCAACCACCCAGGGAAGTACTACCGTCCTGCCAGATGACTGTGAAACAAAAACCTGTAACTGTTTTGCATGATGGTAGGATTGCTGGCTTCTTTTTCTGTCTCATAAACACGCTAAGATAACAGGGATATCTTGCTACTCCTACTTACACTTTGGTCACACTTCACAGACAACCACATGCATATATATATATACATACATCTAGGTTTTTCTCCTTTTTCTAAAAAGCTCTTGTCTTTTTTATTTCTTCTATTGTCCATGGGGAAGTGGAAAAGAATCTTTCCTCCGTAAGCCATGCGTGTCGTATGAGGCGACTAAAATGCCCGGGAGCAATGGGCTATAACCCCTTCTTCCTGTATACAAAATTTCTAAAAAAGGCTGTTGGATTTTGAGCAAAGTAACATTTATGAAGGGATTCAGGGAAAAACCCGGGAGGGCCGGACTTGAGTCCTGGAGAAAGGAAGTACAGTGCCTGCACTCTGAAGGAGGGGGGTTTTAAAGTTGCAGTTTAAAAACTGTAGTGTAAAGCACCCTTCTGGCAAGACCCGT